AAGGCGAGGGGCGCCCGGCCCGGCTCCTGGCGGCAGGGCCGTCAGCTCCCCGCCTTGTTTTACTGCTGCCGCACAGGGTGCCAGAGCAGGGGCACAGCTGTGCGCACACGGAGCACAGCCTACCCTTGTGTCATTACTGCTGTATCACTTTCCACGCGGACTGGAGGCCCACTTTGCCCCCCATATCTTATCTATACAGATAAAAGCCCAAGTGACCAGCAGACCGGTAGCCATGATGCGCACTGACCACCAGGGGGCAGACACTCGATGCAGGAGCTGCTGAGCTGTGGTGACTTGGCAGCTGTGGTTCTCGGGTGACACACCCAGACCCGGAGAGGAGGGAGCCCGATTCCAGGGGGTGTCACCTGAGAGCCACCCTCTTGCAATCTGGACCCCTCGGGGGACGTCGGAGAGCCGGTTTCAGCCCGATGCCCACAGGCCAGGCCGAGGGACCCCCCCGACGCACGAATCCGTGCACTGGGCCTCTAGTTGTTTAAAAAGGAGCACCGAGGTGTGTTGAAACGCGTCTGTGCGTGGGGCCCTCCACCGGTCCTGTCAAAGCAGGTACCAGTGCCCCGAGGAGCGCGGTGAGCCCTTCCAGAACCTTCCACAAGCACGCACACCCATGTGAGCACGAGGGCTGTGCAGACACAGTACTTTTTAAAACACAGCGGGGGTTTTAAACACGGATGGAAATTTACCAAAAGCCCCATTTGCAACCCCCGCCAGTGTGCCTGGTAAACAGCGAGGAGCCTCTTTATTTTAACAGCTGCCAACCGGCCAGAGTGGGGCGTTGCAAGCCAAACACCCCGAATGGCGCCGGAGCGGAGACAGGGCCGGCCGGTCAGTGGGCCCCTTCTGGGAGGAGCGGAGGAGAGCGGGCAGCTGCCGCCCGGCCGCTTCCAGGAGGCGCGTTCCTCTCCACCTGCCCCACTCCATGCCCCTCGCGGTGGACTGGACGTGGCCCAAGGGCACGTGGCTGTGCACAGCTTCCCTGTCAGAGCCAGGAGCTGGGAACAACCTGACGCCCGCCACGGCTCCAGGCCACGGCTCCAGGCCACGGCTCCATTTCCGTCCAGCTGCCACAGCGGCGGGGCCCTTCCCAGCAGACGTGCTGTCCAGAAAGCGGACACGAGGGCACGTGCGCAGGAGCGACCAGCAGGCGGCAGGGACGTGGGGGCGGGGTCGCTCTGTGCTTTTTGAGAGACACACACACAACACCACCACCCAATCGAAGGACCTGAGCAGGTGGAATATGAAAAAACAGAGAAAGAGGATACCGGGCAAATGTTACTATGACAACAGCAGGTGAGTGAAATGCAAAGCAACAGCATTGAAGGGCACAAAACAGGAAACGCTATAGGGATGGAGGGCATTCGGCTTCGCCCGTTTGGGGGCCGTATGTACAGGTGTACATACACGTATGTTTTTTTGTCTGATGCATGTTTTAGTCCTGGTCACATTTCTGACATCAGAAGGCATCTGGGGGTCAAGGAGCGTTTTTAACGTGGGGATGTCCCCTCCTCCCTCTAGGTCAGCGGTTCTCAACCTTTCACAGGGGTCGCCTAAGACCATCAGAAAACACATATATAATCACATACTGTTTTTGTGACTAATCACTGTGCTTTAATTATGTTCACTTTGTAACAATGAAAATACATCCTGCATATCAGATATTTACGTTACAATTCGTAACAGTAGCAACATTACAGTTATGAAGTAGCAACGAAAATAATTTTATGGTTGGGGGTCACCACAACATGAGGAACTGTGTTAGAGGGTCGCGGCATCAGGAAGGTTGAGAACCACTGCTCTAGTGTCTGTTATTAGGCAGTTCGTCTTGGGGAGCACGTCTTTGTGCGCCCGAGGGAAGGGGGGCGACAGCAAAAAAGTTATCCCTGAGTGAATACTTTTGTTTGGTTAATCCTCACTCTAGGATATTTCTCCACTATTCTGAAAGGTTTTTCTGTTGTTAATCCTCACCTGAGGATATTTTCTCCATTGATTTTTTTTTTTAGAGAGAATGGAGGTAGGGATAAAGAGAGAGAGAAACATTGACATGAGAGAGACGTCTCAATTGGTTGCCTCTTGCAGGCACCCTGACCGGGGCGGGGATCGAACCTGCAACCCAGGTACAAGCCGTTGACCGGGAATCGAACCCGTACCCTTCGGTGCGTGGGCTGATGCTCACCACTGAGCAACCCCAGCCACGCCTGCACCCGAGTGGATTTGCACCTTCTCCCTTTCCTTTACCTTCTGTTCTAACAGGTAAGGCTGGTAGCTGTTCCCGTTCCCGGGGGCCTTGCTACTTTTTTAAATGAGAAAAGACTCCACATGTGACCAGCTGGGCACACAGAGCAGAGCTCGTCGCTGCGGTGATCGCAACAGCAAAGACCATCATCCGCCACGTGACGCAGCGGGAAGGTCGCTGGGGGAGGTCACGAGAGCCGGGCTGGCCGGATGGTGGGTGCGATCCAGCCACTTAGAAATACGCATTTTAAAAAAGCAAAATACAAGCTCAGCTCAGGGAACGCACGAAGCATAACCCACGCCTGCAAACAGGAACCAGAGTCCATCCCAAAGCAGCGAGCAGCGGCCGCTCCTGGGGTGACGGGGTCCGGGCCTGACTTCCCCTTCTGATGCCCGTTCCTTCATCTGGACTCTCACTGTTTCCCGGGGACACAGACTGGGCGAGCCTGGTCCTCCCCACGACAGAGGCGCCGCCTGGGAGGGGCCGGGGAGGTCGTGT